AGCACAAAATGTTACAGCTACTTCAGAACTTGGTACATACCTCTCATTGGCATGCATATGAGTTGTAATAAATTTTACATCAGACGCTGAATGTAGGACATGGGAGAAGTGTTCATGTGAATCTGTTCCCCAGAGAAATAAAGTTAGAGCCAACCATTTAATCTAGTGAAATGTTTAAGTGCCTCCTGCTTTATACATTATAGATCATGGACAATGGATCTGTTTTTGATATGTCTGTATAGAAATAACTGCTGGCTTCTTTTCTTCTAAGTTTTATTCCTTTAGTTTGGGAGTTTTGTTTACTGATGACAGCAATACACACTTACACATTACAACTGGATGTCTCAAAGTTTTCTCTGTATAATAGAGGCCAACATTAGACAATGAAAGCACAACAAGGGTGGCCTTTTTTATACTTATACTATATAATCAGCCATCTCTACTTATGTTAGGAAATTCCATAGAAATCAATATTTTTCATCAGTGCTTGGCCAGTCCTATAAAGTATTGCATATTGCATTGCAGAGCATAAACTGAAAATGCTTTATTATTGTGTGTTCACATTTGGAGGCGGGCATATTCTGCTCCAGGGCCACATCATATTTTCTGCTGGCACTGATCCAAATTAACTAGAGTCTTGTCTGGCTTGAAGACTAATTAACCTCTTTATTTCGTTACCCCAGAATAGAAAATGGGGCTGCAAGAATAAGCAGAAGACCATGTGGAGTGAAGGAAAGGAACCTTGCATGATCTTACACCACGTTTCATATTTGTACAGTGGCAGCCTGGTGTTTTACTGCATGTTGTATGTATGAGTGATTAATCATATTTAATAGTAGTTCTATTTGACTGTAATGGCTGCACTGCTGAGTGTGCTGTGCTCAGTATATTGCACTCATATTCCATCACTGTGGCCCATGGGAAACATGAGGCTCACTTTGTGAATAGGATATCACCACAGAGTCTCAAGGTGATTACATAAGGCTTTACAGAGAAATGCTTACTGTGCTTTAATTCTTGATAACAACAATTATACTGCCCCTATAATGGTTTGGTGGAGCTCAAATTAATAAACCCCATGGTGGTGTTTTGTCTCATGGGAAGTCCAATGTCAGCTTCTTTTATGACCTTTTTAAGTTAGAACAGTGACAAGAAGCTACTAAAGAGAGTCATCTACGGTCCATTAACAAGCCACTAATGGCGATATTCTGTAGTTGTAGGTGACAATAAACCAGTGTACTTTACTTTTAATAATAATGAACTTTTCTTAAAAGTGCAAGCATTTGTAGTACAGAAAACTGTGTTGTTTGTACAGTTGCATTGCACTGTGGGATTATAAAAATATAGGCTGGATCCTAGTAGAGTATCCAGACAAATCTTCAAGTTTTTGAAATACACAAATTTACAGAGTTTAGGTCTTGCCAGCCTATAGTAGCCTCATAAATGTACATAATACTCAGGCTATTATTATTATTGTTATTATTATTATTATTATTATTATTATTATTATTATTATTATTATTATTATTATTATATTGTTGTTGTTATTGTTATTATTATTATTATTATTATTATTATTATTATTATTATTATTATTATTATTATTATTATTATTATTATATGTGTATGCCCATTTAATCTAATGAATCTGTCATCTGTGAGTCTGTGACTAGTTTTATTTTGGGATCTTGCTTTGGACCACCAGAGGGCGCAGCTGTAGCACTGATGAAAGCTGCAGAAATGAATGGGCGTGTAAACGGATGACTCCAGTCTACAGACAGATGGAGCCTGTGGCACAGATTCAAGCAGACGGTTTACTACGAGACAACAACACACGCGTGAGCCTCCATGAAGTCATTGTCTGGATAGGAGGAAACGGCAAAGGATTATCTAACTGTATTTAATAATGTCAAGTCATGGGCCATAACCCAAGGAGTCCACTAGGGATATATGCCACTGAACCCTTGTGTTCATCTGAACTTTGAGATTATGAGATATGAGATTTATTCCTTCAGATTTGTTCAAGGTCCTCAATTGTTTATTTTATTTAGTTCATATTGCAGTTATAGAATTTGTCATTTTTGTCTTGTATTTAAACATTCTTTTGCAAGGTAACATTTTGAGCTCATCACTCATGCTAATATAAAGAAAAATGTATCTACCATTATATATTATAAACTATTAAAAAAACTTTTAGATATTATATTTTCTAATAAGTAGGTGTCAGCTTCTTAATGTTTTTATTTAGAAAACCACTGAAGTCTGTTTATACAGATTATTTCATGTCATCAATGATTGCCATAGATATTACACTCTTTAAACTTGTAATTTCTTTAATATAAACTTTTTTTAGACAGTTGACTCCTACATTTCAGAGTTCAGATTACTGCCAAAATGCATCGACACACACTTGAGCCATTGTGAGATATTTAAGAAAAAAAAACTTTATTTGTGACTTATTAACAAAACACATTACCAGTTTGAGTAAATCAAAAAGAACCACTATTATCACCTTTACACTGATGAGCAGGTGTACAAAAGATGATGTTTCGGACAGATCTGCACTGTCACTGTCGAATGGGACGTGCCACTCACAGACACACCCAATGACTGAGGAACATTCACTATACACAAGCAGAGAATACACAAACAGCATTTTTTAAAAGCATTTTATACATTTTGAGTTTTTTTTTTCTTCTTTTGCAGCTTACATAATCTACTGGGTAAGGGAGAGATATGGAGGGTACGTAAGTGATTTGATTTCACAATACCATTTGTTCCATCATTTCAAAGTGTAACACAAGGTTAATGGAATTGGGATTGTTCGAAATCATAAAACAAAAGCAAAGGGTATTTCATAGCATAACACAATATCGTATATCTAGAAGTTTTATTTTCAACAGGATGGAAAATGTGTTTCTTTTAGTTTTATTCCACAATTGACTGTTTATATGTATGCATGGATCAGTTTGTACAATGGTTCTGTGTTGTATTTGAGAATTGGTATTAGAGGTATATGTAATTCCAATACACATTTCCCAGTTGAAAAAGAAAGAACATATCTATGTATATATATATTATCTATATAGTATTCGGTTTCCTTTGCTTTAAGAACATGCAAACAGCCACTTGGTGATGTGACAGCACAGAAGTTAAGTTACACCTGGGCAGGGACCGTTGTGACTGCTGACGTTAATGGCACCAAGAAAGCAAGGAACACAGAAGGGAAAGAAGATTGGACACTTTCTACCATGCCACTCCCTATAACATAACATACACTCCATACTGGGATTCACTATTGCAATACAGTCAATTTTTCATATAGACAACATTTTCCTGCTTTTTAAATGGTTTTCTTTCCAAAAACAGAAACCTCACTCAAGACTGATTCACGTTTCTTTTTGTATTCCTCATTTTGTAGAGCGATCCTACCACTCTTCCTTTGTCTTGTTTCTTTGCATCCACCAAAGCATTACTAACCTGTCACATGTCCTCACAACATCACCCATAGAGACGCCACAACTGTCATCTATGTTTGTGTAAAGCAAAGAACAGCTCATTGCCAAGAGTGACTTGTCTTTCTATATATTTTATGTCTTTCAGAAACTGTGTTGATGTGAAGAAACAGGAGGACATCCTACAAGTGCTGAAGCGGTCGGTGTGAATGGCGCAGGAAATCGAAGAACAACTATAACATTCAGAGACAGAAGTATATCTGGGGATCAGGCTCCAACAGAAACATTTTTCAGCCATTTTGTACACTCCCGTAGTAAGAATGGTGCCAGGCTGCAATCTTTCTCATTGTGTTGTATGGTTGTAGTGTGTGTAATAGGCTATTCATGTACAAGCCAGAAGCAGGTGTTTGTATGTGTTTGTCTTTGCTGATACACAGTGGGTTCGTGACCCTGCGCCCTCTCGACTCCACCAGAAGGGGGCAAAGATCGCGGGCCGGTTGCATCAGCTGCATGTTTAGGTTCCCTAAGTTTAAATTCCAGTCCCTACTGCATGTAATCCAATCACGCATTGCTAAAGCACAAGCATAGCAACACGAACGCAACCTTAAGTAACAACTAAATATTTAAGCAAGCAAAAGCGAGTGCAAATGATACAGTCACACAATTGCAATCACTAACCATAAAGCAGATTTTTTTTTTTTTTTCAGTTTTTTTTTCTTTTAGGGTATATTTGTTGAATATTTAAACTTATAGAACCACAAAAGTGATTTTTGAAGTTTTATACAAATTACATATACTTTATATAATTGCTAACCATTTCCGGTGGAATACTAATACACTATTGTTTATCAAAGTTTGCATTTTATACATTTTGGTGTTTATAATGCTGGTTAGCTGAAAAGTATATTAGGTTGATGAAGGACTTCAGCATGCATGCTCATTTAGTCCTTGCAAATACAGTTGTATTTAGTACAATAGCAATATTTCCAATTCCATTAATAATATTTCCAATTCCAACATTTTAGATCAGATGTTGTGGTTTCTACCCATTAGCACAGTGTTGGACTGAATTGGCTAAGTCTCCTATTGTTTATCTAACTATATTTTTGTAGCAATACTTTTTACTACTGTTTAAAGTTGTAACTCACTAACCTCCACTGAAGCCACTACTTGTCGCCCTAACCTGGGAACAAACTTGCTCATAGTTGGTGCAACCCTGACCTGAGCCTCTGCGATGTGCTATGTTACACTGAAACAGAGCTTGTTGAATATGTGGTCCTGTACTGTTCCTCTCATTGGAATCAAAGGTGCTAATCTTGTGATGCACTTTTTACAGTTTTTTCTTGTTTTTATAAAAAAGACCACTTTTCTGAATTTCTACAAGGCCTCCGAAATATTGAAGACAAAAGCATCTGTTTCATAATTTTTACATTGTTCTTTTGCAAGTGCAAAAGGGGGAGGGGCTGCATAAAGACAGAGATGCCAACGTCAACAGCTTATAGTGCTCTCAATACAAATATGACACCTCTGTAGGTGTGGCATTATACAAAGGGGCAGCACAATCACAGAAAGGCTCTTCTCATCCAATATTATCCTTTCTGTTTGAATTTGGTCCAACCATTTTATATAGTTACCTGAAAACATTTGAGGGACAAAGACGGGGCCAAATGAGCCGAGTAGGATTTGTTCACATAGTGTAGGGAGCCAAACTTGGTCAAATGAGGGTTTGGCCACTGTACAGCGTCTATGCAAAATTCAGGTGCGAAGAGGCTCCCATACTTTAGATAGTTTGCATTTGGCTTGGATCTGGCTCAGTAATTGGGACGGGAGTTTGTTGGTAGCTCTGTATTTGTTTGTTTATTTTTAACCCCTAGTCGTCCCCCCCGTCATCCTTGCCCTTATCCTTCTTGTCCTTCTTGTCTTTCTTCTTCTTCTTTTTCTTCTTAGCCTCATCTTTCTTGCCAAAGCTGATGAAGTCTCCCTTGTCATCCACTGGTCCGGCGTCATGGCGAATGGAGATGATGGCGGGCGATCCCGGGATAATGAACGCTTCTGGGGGGATCTCACCAGGCTTCAGGGGCTGGGGCGCGGGCACGTAGCCTTGGCCCGACGCTCCATATCTGAAGTGCCAGCTGTTGCTATTCACTCCAGCGCCCACTGGGGGAGACAGCTCTCCACCGCCTTCTCCATCTACACAGACACAAAAGAAGAGGCCACAGGACAAGTGTAAGTACTGGATCAAGTTCATAATAAGCTACAAGGGTATAATTTCTGGATTAATATTATATGTGGAAATTGGAAGATAAGGTGTTATTGTACCTATATAGTGTTGTAGTACTGATTTTTAGTCTGACATTATCAGAGTATAATTTTATATATAACCCTAACCCAAAAATTTTATGTAGTGAGGAAATTGCTGTACCTAAGCTATATTGATTATGCTAAATAATATATACTCTAGGTATGTTTTAGTTATTTTTGGTTTGATAGCCAGTGTTTTTAACTCAAGAATTTATTTTTGGTTACTTACCCACAGTTTGAACCTACGTATGTCTACAAAGTCAACTCAATAACTTCTAACACTGTATACATAACTGTCTAAAAATATTGTATGCCTTTACTAAAATCTGACTATACAAAATACACAAAACCTAATGCTACAACAATAATAGATGTGACAAGAAAGAGGAAAGAAGAGGAGGAGATAGAAGTGACACCAGGGGAAAAGTCTTCTAAAAAGAAAGACTAAGAAAAAGCAAAATGTCACAACAAAAATGTAACTACAGCAAAAAAGTATAAATTGAATGTAATTGAATTGAAAGTGGACGTTTCTCATATGATACTGGATTTCAGAAAGGAAATTAGGAAAGAGGGGTTTACAATTAATTAATTTACTTTATGTATATAATATTTTGCTAAAATAATTAAAATATTAAGGATGTAATATATCATTATCATACTTTCAAGTAATATCTAAAAAACAACATGTCTTTAAAAGAAAGTTTCAGTTTTATATAAATATTTTTTACATCAGCTACACCAGCCATGCCCTATCTAATCAAGTGGCAGGTATAGTGATGACACCCTGGATGTCTGTCAATATGAGAGCACCGTTGCTGCTAACCTATTCAGTGCTAAATGCCTCCCTGCCCCATACATCTGCGCCTCTTCATTAACTTGCTCTTCCCCCTTTTTCTCATTTCTATGTCTTCAGGAACACGCTGTGCTTCAGAACTGCAGCGCTCATCAGGTGAGCCATTCCCAAACTGCCAGCGCCTGCAAATAATCTCCATCCTCATCTTGTCTTCCATTCATATTCTAATCAATAATTAATGTTTGCACAGATTTGAGGTGCTGTAATAGTTTGTGTCGTGTTTTGTTCCCAGGAGGATACATCTCATTCAGTGGAGTGGAGATTCTGTGTTTGAACTGGGGTAGAAGCCTGAGAGACCGGATATTTTGAGGACAACAATTCATCTGGGACTACAAATTCACATACAACACTGAGGGGTAGTAACCTTTAGTTCACATGAGAGCTGAACTTGATATGCATTTCTATTTGATTGCCAATACTTTAAATCCCCTATGAAACTTTGTGACAGCTTATGGCATAAATGAAATAAAGACAACAAAAGACAATAGTCAAAGGACAATAATAATGTCATGAAGGAGCTATTCAAAGACAGACGATTACATAAAGAGAAAAGAGTTATTAAGGTCAAAAGGTGAAAGTTGTCAGAACAGGAGCGGAGGGAGGATGCTGGATGTGGCATAGAGAGAGATGGTGATGAGGGAGGAGGGGGAGGGCTGGGTGGGTTTTCACAGACATACCAGTTCCCTCTGCGCTGACCTACTTTTACTACAGATTTTATTTAGATCAAACATGGGCCTTTGATTCGTCTTTGTAGGCTATTTATGACAGAGCTGCAGCCTGGTCCCAGTGGGAAACGCACTATTTTAAAATCTACTCACTGTCCTCAGACTTAATAAAACATTAAAATGAAAACTATCCAATATGCATATTCTGTTTGGCTAAGCGCTACTAGAAAGACTTGATGATGATGAGCCATAGGAAATGAATTTAATGCAAATATAACTCAACTGTGTTCAATGTAGGCATCGTAATGTCTGTAGAAAAATGGCACTGCCATGGGGTACTAAAATATAAATACAGATATAAATTATGTGTTTCTCATCTCTAAAAATAGGAATACTCATTTTCTTTACATAAAAAATGTGTGTATACATGCCCATGATACCTGTGGAGTGGAACATAATATGCTGTATGGGAAACTGTGTGTCTACAAGATAGTACATTTGTATTTCAGCAAATAATAAAAAGCTTATTTGCTACTCCAATATATACTTCAACATGGGTTTAAACGGAAACAAGACTATGCTACAACCCCTATTATTATTTGCATAATTGCATACGTAGGGCAACTATTTGAACAATAATTTATATCCAGAAATACTGGAACTGTTACATTGTTTATTTCAACACTACCATCTGGCTGCCATCTGAGGATTCATAGAACTATAGTTACATTCTTAACTTTAATACTGTGACCTAATCTTAACCTAAAATGTGTGAGTTTTTGCCAGTAGATCAAGCTTATTTAATGATTAAAAGGCATTATCATCTTATGCTTCCATTAGTGGTGTTAAGTGTTAATGCTACTTTACTTGGATTAAAACATGCCTTTATCTGTGTGTGGTCTTTATGTGATATGAGCAGGGTATGAACCCAAGCATGAGGGGCTGTTATTTTAAATATGCCACATGGCTACACTGGATGTACATGAGTGGGTCTGAAATACTGTGTCCATCTTGGAGGACAAGCAAATGTCAGTGCTGCTGGGCTGCATGTGCATGAGATCATTTGAACTGGTAAGGCGTTTAAACATAAATATCAGATGCTTGTTGGAAACAATAATTACAATATGGAATTATAGTTCAATAAATAACAGTTAGAACAATATTTTTTGGAGTTCATAATTTATGGGAATATTGGGAATATTCTGCTACCATTTAATTTTTAAGGAAGGAAAAAAAGTTCTGCTTTGTGTCAGTGGTGTAGAGTAGCTTCAGTCAATATTACTGTTTATGAAGGTATTTTTATATAATCATATCACACTTCAAAATGTGTTATTGTGACAGCCCTACTTGTTGGGTTTATTTGACTGTAAGATCAAGGCATGCAGGGATTTTATGGTCTGTCTTGATGAATTACTCTGTTGAGGTAATCTAGTAAATGTAATTGATAGAGTCATCCTCACACCGATCAACCAAGCCAAAATGTCAAGTCGCTGTTTGATGTCCAAGTAATTACAAACTGTCAGTGTATCTCTTGATGTCCGTTTGCTTCCTTCACAGACTGTGGCCAATTGAAATCCATGTTAATTATAACTGCAGCTCAGGTGTTAATTATATTCATGTACAAAATAACTACCGTTACAAGCGGGTCGTGTTTTGGGTATAACATCACATACACAGGGAGCTTGGCTGTGCTCCTACTGTGCCTCTAATATGGAGGAATATGTGTACCTCTGCCACCACTTCATATTAGCCCATATTTCACAGCAAACAACCATCTGAAATGGATTATAGCAGTTTCCCAGCTAAGCAGGTCACTCTAGCTCCTTATGAGTAGGTTGCCATGACACCTGCAGAGATGTGGGCGTCTTAAATCCTTGTTTCCGTTGCCCTGGTGTCCCACATTTTAAGTAGGATATCTTTTTATATATACTCCATAATACACTTCTATTTAAATGTGTCACTAGTGGCTTGTAGATCACGCACAAACCCACCGGGCATGTGTAAATTCTCTGCAGTACAGTACGTGCTTTGTGAATGAGAGTGTCTTCATATGCACTCATTTCGATTTGAATGCCTCCTAAAATACTATCTGACCTCCTTTTTATCTGCTACCTACCCTTGTCAAGTCCCCTTCCCTCCCCTGTCCTGTCTCTAATGCTCCCCATTCAGAGATATTACATGTTTCCATGGAAACTGGCTTGCCCACTCCCTGCTGATGGAGGAAACTGATGGTGGGTGCTGTTGGAGGGAGCTGTGGAAAATGTTACTGATGGTCCAAGCCACTGAAGTGTACTAAGAGATGGCAGAGGTACCAAGTGGGACTGTACAAGTATGAGGGGATAGAGGAACAAGGTGGAGGCAGCTGACTGTGGGTGCTGCCCAGGGTGCATAAAGGGTATTACAGGGAGAAGCAGATGGAGCTGATTGAAGAGGCTGTTGTTGGAGGGTACGCACTGGTTTGACAGTCGGAGGGGACTGTGGGTGCAGGTGGAGGGAGCTGGTGTACAGAGCTGAGGGAGGGAGCAGACAGAGGGTGTTGATGGAGGATGCTGTGGAGGGTGCGGCTGCTGCTGCAGTCTCTCAGTGAGACAGTGTTGCTAGGCAACAAGTCACATGGCGTTCCCTAGCAACAACAGTACTGCAGGAACCTGCCAATCCTCTTAACCTTTCTCTTCCTCCATCCCCCCAACACCTCCATGCTGTTCCCTCTATCCCTAGTGCGTCGCTTCTCGTCTTCCTCTCCCAAATCGCTTTAATGTTTTGAGCTTTTCCGTTGTGCTCTTTTACTGCTGATAATAGCTTCTCAGGGCCTCTGGCATTAGACCTAGTCTCCTCATCTGCACCATGGGTCACTTACATAAACAACATTTTAGCAGTGTGGATGCAGCACAGGATGTTGGACAATAACAGTACCCTGTTATTGTATTGTAAAGTGATATAGTCTACATCCCCACCATTATGCGCTGAATTGAATTATTCCCCATCATACATTGGGCCGCAGTGGAAATCGCCCTTTGATTTCAGGCTCCATCTAACCACAGAAATGAGAGATGAGAAGTGCTCTAAAATACAGTAAATGCCAAAACATGTACACTGAACACCTTTCTCAGTGTTGACATTCCCCAGAGATGATTACCATCATGTGTGTTTACATCCCTAACGGACAGACATAACTTGGCACAGAGCGGCTGAGTGATGCCTCACTTCATCCTTCATCCTGTACCTGTGTTAAAAGTTCTGATGCTTGACAGAAAATCAAAGAACAAAAGTGGGGCAAAACAACTGACTGGGGCCTTCACCTTCAACCTTAGTGAGACAGGATGCGATATCAGGTGCACAAGAATGAGACAAGACAAGATTATGACATAATTTATAATTAATAAATTCACTATTTTAGTCACACAGTTTCTGATTTATTTAAATGTTAAACTTTGCTGTAGTTGTAGCACAGCTTTATTGCTAGATCATTCTTCACCCGTATGCCCGATCCTACAATTACTGTCTCATCTCTAATAAGTACCAAAAATGAATCCAGTATTGTTGCGAATGATGACATGTTGTTTAAGCAGATCTAATATATATTTCCATAGATCAAATTAAATGTTCTATGTTTTGGCTTGCTTAATATCAGCGCTCCACATACTTCATTCTGCAGCACTATTTGTATTAAACCACATAAATTAGAACTTGGATATCACGCTATGAATCAAATGAATCAAAGTCTCACCACTCTGGCTATGTTGCTAAATTACTTGAGTTGATATTTCATCTACACTGCAGGATTAGTGAGCAGAAAGGGAGTAACCATGGCAACGTGAACAGTCCATTTTAGCAGTCGGTTATCATGTACTGGTGGTTCTTGTCTTAGCTGCAGAGATGAACTGGGTCCACTTTGGTCCAGCAGTTCTCTATTATATTTTCTTTGTCTCAAGCTTTATTACATAACTGTCTTGAGTTTGAACCCAGTGAACTGTCTGCAATGACACAGCTACAACCTCTACGGGAGGTAAATGTTACGATTGCACTGTTATTTTTTGTGACATTTCTAATGAATAACCTAATGGATAGGTGTGCAGTGTACCAAGCCAAATTACAAATTTGAATTGATCATGATTCATGTAAACTTTGTATGTTTATAGTGCCTTGAAGTTGTCATATGCTTCTTCTGACAGTTCAGATTTAATTTCAGTTGGTTGAGTCCACCTGTCACTCATTCAGGGTATTGCTGAGACAGACCAATAGAAGGTGTAGGTGGGAGAAAATTTGAATGTAAAGCTACGTTCAAGAGAAAATTAGTGAATAAAAATATGGTGATTTGACCAAAATATCATATTGTTACTAGAATGAGATCACAACTTGATTTTTAGCACCATATAGGCCAGTCCTACCTAAATGACTTCTGTTGTCATCAACAATCAACATCATCAACAACTTATTTTTACAACCTAACTTTATTACAGCTTCTGACCTGAATGCAGACTCTCATTAATCAAATTGTTCAGTTGCTAATACCTTTTTGCTTGATACAAGAAAGTACCCTAATTAAATTCACTCACAGATACTGATTACAACATGCTCTGCTAATCTACTTTGTTATGACTAAGACATAATACATATGTTACTTTTAATATTGTATAGCAAACAATCCATGTCACTGATATTAAGAATTCGTTTGTATAATGTGACATTTTTCAGCATTGTACACACGCAAGATGCTTTTAAAATGAGCCTGCATTTAAAAAGACCAGTATACACAATGTTCTCTTTGCTGTGTCCGTAGGAATGTTTCTTCCACTACACTTGCACTTGAGGACTTGCACTAACCTGCAGCGCTGGAGACAGTGGGCCAGTTCTGGACCAGCATCCCCTGGGCTCCCTGCATCACTGCTCCCGACTCCTCCATGTGGACTGAGCTGGAAGTAAGAGCATCAGACAAAAGCATCAATACATCAAGTTTAGGCTAATTACTTTTACTACCAAGCACTGTGAAGTAAATACTTGTAACTAAACATTCTTAAGAGGAATTCAGATCATCTAAGGCCAATGTTTGCAGTGGTAAAATGAGCTAGACTTGTGTTTATTTTTACTATTTTTGAGAGCTGGCACAAAGTTTGTGTATGCTTATCATTAGGCGAAAAAGTAGTACACTTCCACCATGTTTCATGTATTTATCAATTAACTAAGGCATGACATACATTTCTGTTTTCTCTGAATGAGCATCTTCTTTTTATTTAACAATTAACAATACACAGCTGATTAAAGGATCTTCTGCTGGCACTTTCAATAATGCGTTACAACTAAAAAAAAAACATACATTACATAAAAATCACATCCAGCAAAGCTGGGCACTGCAAACTCACATAATGTCATTTTTATTGCTCTACTTTAATGCCCTTTCTAACACTGGGAATCATTACTCATAAATTCATAATGAGTATACAGTGGAGCTTATAGTGGGACCTCCACTTACTGGGGCATCTGCAATGCAGCACATCTACATCTATCTGAGTCTGAGGTGCAATAACTACGTGAAACTATTGCAAAAGGGGCAGAAAAGTGTATTTTTAGCAGTGTGAAGGAACAAAAGTATACTAGTAGGTGCGGTTTTGAAGTGTGGCAAAGACAGGAATACGAGCAAGCAACTGAGTGTGCCAAGAATGTGGGTCAGTGCAGATCGTGCCAAAGCTTTAACTCTGTAGAGTTTTACAAAGCAGTCGAGGAAAATGTATAGATTCTCAAGGCCTTGTCTTATCTGACTACATTTATTATGCCATGCTAACTTGAGGTTTCCTTGAGTTAGGTTTTGTATGTGTGAGTATATAAGTATAAGAACGACACAGTGAACAGAATAGTTCAGAAGAAATTCAAATGACAAGAAAGAAAAACAAAAAAACTAACTTGAATTTCTCGTTCTAGTAGTTGTAGGGCATTAATAGTTGCTACTTGTATCAACAACGATCATGTAATAATAGTGTAGAAAGTGGCAAAAATAAGTAGTTCATAACACATTTTACTTTGAGGTATAGTGAAATTACATGACTTCAGTTTTGATTACTTCTTTAAATACGGTTTTACATTCTGAGTGTTGGTGGTTTCCTTCATGTCATTGCTCATTGGAACTTGATGGCAGTGGTAAATTACGTTGATGCCTTATGTTAATCCATGTCATGTCACAGGGGCCTTGATGACATGATGCAGATTAAGATCCCTCTCCACACCATAAAAATGGACACTAATGTCTAATTAAAACCGAGTCAGACGATGCCAGAGAGTCACCGCTGTAGCCTACATTGTTAGCATGAAATTAGGGAAATTCAGTACAAAGGATCAGGAAGGGAAGCAAAAACTCATTAGGTCTCTATGATCCAGATGTCCGCACATCAAAGCCGCTTCATTAAACTCCATAATGCCACTTCAGGATACAGATCATCACATTAAAATGACTGATGACCCCATTGTTCATTAGTCAGATTTTGGGCGTAGTGTTATTTGGAAGCTATGCAATATGATTGGTTGTCATTAAGAATTGCATTGCTCAAATCACATTTAAAGTTCTACTGAACATTAGAACATGTTCTGATCTGGCTTGATTTTGCCACTTTTTATTCTGATAAAATATCAAAATATAATACAACCTGCAAGCTGTTATTTTGTTTATAAAATGCAATGCAAGTTAACATTCGTTGTGTCACATTAAGCCTGGCTTGCTATTTTGATTTTGGTTGGGTAATTTTAGTTTCTGATATAGAGCTCAAATGTTGGTACAGCTCATATAGTAAGGCAATTTCTTTTATTTCTGTTGTGCCTTGATGGAGGTCTACTCAGTTATTTTAGGATTACTTATCATGTTTCAATGCCTGTATTACTTCCAAATCCTGGCTAGACATGACTCCAGATGTCCAAAAGCTTCTGCCTAGTTTTCTCCACTGCAGTATAATGGTAGAATTTGGCCTGCCTTTTTGTATGCTATAAACAACCTTTCTGATTAGGGCATTTTGGGAAATATAGTATCAAATCCTAAATGATGTACTGCTGCTTTTACCAAATGAGTTCTCAAGTTAAAACGCCACTTGGCTTCCATTTCACAGTCTTGAATCCATTAATGCTCACTGCAAGAATAATCTGTGTATGCACTTACCAAATTGAAATATCTTTTTTGACAGTACTCTACACCTCCAGACTGGACATGCAAGCAAGACACCCTTTGCATCACAATGAATAAGTGTAGGTGTTGAGGATGACGTGAGCTGTTACCATGAGCATGTAAAAGTGCTTATTTATGTTGCTGTAGCGACGTGAGTGGACTGGGATGTTTGCGTGCATCTCATGATCTGAGAAAGGTCATAGTCAGTTTGTTTGTCCTTCATGCTTCCTGTTTAGAGACTGGAGCTGGGGGAAGCAGTACTGTGAATGTAGATGACCTATATAGTGTTACACTGCAGTGGAGGAGAGCCGCTATGCACGGATGGGAGGTGTGCCTGGTCATTCTCCCATAGGACGTTACGGCTGTGATTTTGACAGATGGTAAAATGGCCCTAGTCATTTTATATCAATATCTCCACAAAGGTCTGTTTGCTTGTTAATGATATTGGTCTACATATCAAATTCAAACAATATGTTAGAATAGGGGTTTGATGGGCCTAGAAATGATTTATGTAGATATGGAAAATGGGGAGGATTTTATGATTTTTGGTGGTGGTTCGTGGTCCAACTAATTGTTATGGTGTTTTGTCTTGATGATGCTGGTGACCTATTTTAGGCCTCATACAGTCTTAAAATTGGCACACAGTTAGAGTGGCAATTACCTTTTGTTCCAAAATATTTGGTAAAATGAACTTTGACTACAGTGACTTTGCAGTTAAAGAGTTCTATTATTGTTTAGTTCAAAGGCACTGAACCAGCAAAAGTCAATTTAGCGCTAGGTCTCTGTTTGTAAATGTACATTTTTTGCATGAAATAAGTTGTATGACTGTGTAAATTCTTCAACACTTGAATCTTATTTCAGCATGTTCTCTACCTTTCCTAAAGTTAAAACAGAGAACATTATGCAAGAACATTAATGTTGTGTGTCTGTGTGCACATAGCGAGATTAGTATGTGATTATTTTTAGATTAAAACAAGTTACAAATGTGTGTGAAGTGCTTACCTAGTCTGCACCCCTGCTCTCAAAGATGCAGAATATCGCCAGTCAGCATTGGGTGCTTTTGGCTGAACATGCCCGAGGTGAAGACACAGCAGCAGAGGAGCATAAGAGAGGGACAGAGGGGGGGTGGAGATGGGAGAGAGAGAGGAAAGAGGGAGGAGAGAGGTTAGTTTGATTTCATACAGTGCAGAGACAGGCTAGGCCATGGTCTCATCAATTAATCATGACACACATCCCAGCTGAATGTGATAGGAGCACTGCAGCTGTGTTCCCCATACACACACACTGACACACATATGTGTAGAAAGGCCCACCAGGGTTTTAAAAGGGTCATATTGATAATGTTTTGGACAGTAGAAGTAAATCCATGACTGCAAAAGCCTAATATTGTTTCAGCAGGATAGAATTTGTCATACAAAAAAATACAAAAATTGCAGTTTATAAAAATCTGTGTATACATTTGCATTTGTCATCATAAACAGGGGGGTTATTTGGAGTATCCAGAGGACATCTTGTAATTTATGGCTTTCACATATCCAATCACCATGAGCCTCTGTCACCAGGGCAACCACATTCTCCATGCGTGTCTCGTCGCCTGTGTTAGACCAGTGGGAGGTGTTTGCTTCATCAGCCCAGAATATGCTAATTATACTCTATTTTTAAAGCTAATATAGCACAATTACATGTACCGCACAATAAATCTTTGCAAAATGTGAAGTGGTGGATGCAACAATTTTCTGTAATGCTAGCCTGAGACTGTTTATATGATTGAGAGCTAATGTAAAAAAGATGAAGAAAAACTCTGCAAATGGGAATCAGAGTTAAGTAAACAACACTAAGGAAGCTTTGTTTAAAGACAGGACCTGCTAAAGCTGTAGCAATTGTCCCAAAATAAAATGGCACATTATGTTCTCCTATTCAATTCAGTGGGGAGTATTTTCTGCAGCTATGGCCAGCCTCTTTGTGTAAATTTAATTTGTGAGGCTGAGGAACAGAAGCGGGAGGTTAATCTCATTTCCATAGCTTCAAATTGTCTCAGTGTATAACTAATGTACGAGTGTCTGGCAACCCACAGCTTATGACTGTCAGCCTCAAGATCTTTTGTTTACTTAATCTGATATTGTAAACACCGTTAGCTAGCTGGACTGAACTCTGTGAACCTGAAATACATTAAAATGCAGCCATTAGACCCAAAGTGTTTTTAAACCACAGAAAATTTGCCAAATATTTCTGCGTTGTTCATATGGACTCTGCATTACAGACAAGAGAATACCAGAACTGTCACATTCTCCTAACACCTGCTACTGCTTACTGTGTGTCTACACCCGTCAGGCATAATACAACCGTCTGTTATAGGTGGTCTTGTTGTAAGGTGTTAGGACCACCTGTAGTGATGTGTAGCTTCATATGATACAAACTGGCTGACATATTCCTATCAGAACTTGGAGTAATGACAATGTCTCTGTTTTATATTACGCTTACAAACCAGTGACTCAAAGGCAAAGTGGGTGATTTATCTTGGCTGAGTAAACAACAACATTAAGGAGGCTGGAGTAAGATTTGAACCATCAACTTTCTTGTTAAAGGTGACTGCTCTTATTCTTTCCACCATCACAGTTACTTCTTTGGTGATACTGTATGTCTTGTCAGTTTACAATTTTTCAATTCTTGGATGAGTTTGGATTAACACAGACCGTCCCTGTAGACATGTTGATGTTCTGACCAAGTCATAAAAATGTGCCTTTGCCAAATTTGTATTTTTTTGTAATTTTTTCTTGCTTTAAAAATGTCAACTTTGAATACAAAATGTTTCTCTTGTCTTGACAGTTGTCAGATTAGATGTGTTTATATTACAGTAGAACAATCATTAAAGATTTACACATGTTCAGTTGTGTCTATCAATATGGTAACTGTCATTTAACAGAAGCAGACCTAATGAAATTATCCAGTGTTACTTTAATTTTCTGACACATCACAACCGCCAACAACAGGTCAAAGGCAAAGAGTGTGAGCAAGTCGTAATAGACTGTGTGTGGCTTGCTCCTAGTGGAGATGTGACAAGTTCAAAGTGAAACACAAATCTCTGAATCATCAGAAACAACAAACCTGAAATGCATCAAGAGTGACACTAATGCAGAGTGAGTGCTGAGCCGGGGCTGGGCTCAGACACTGGAGTGGATGTAGGAGTCCTGGGAGGTGAATGCTTGGATTAGTGCTTGTTATTTTGTACAAAGTAAAGTTGTACCTACCTCAGGGCAGAGCTGCAGTGAGGCATCAGGCATGCTCAGTCTGCGTACAAATCCACTGCCACTGGTGAAGAAGCGCTCTGCACCGCTTCCCCAGGTGCCACTAATGGGACGTCCTGTGTTGTAGAACATGAATGTGTCACTGCCGGAGGTGGCAGTCAGGCAAGTCTTGTAGCAGTAAGTCTTTGTGAGCGAGCCATTTCCTCGCACTTCAATGTAGTGAGGCTCAACTTTTAGGTCTCTTCTCAACACCACATTGTTATTGGGTTGCCCACCGGTTGCACCAGCGGCACCTGCACTCACACTGCTGCTGCCCCCATCTGGAGGGGGCTTTTGTGAGCCACAGCAGGTGGAGCAGGACCCTGGCTGAGAACAGTAGGCGTGACAGCGGACAATGGCCAGAACCACAACAGTCACCAGGAAAACAAAGGTGGTGGCACATAGCGCCACAATCAGGTAGAGGGTGACATTGGAGAGGAGCACCGTGCTGTGTGGGCGAATAATCCTTTTGGGGTCAGGGGCCACTTTGGGGGGCACTTCCATGACTGCCACATTGATGGTGGCGGTGGAGGTGAGAGGAGGCTGGCCATGGTCTTTAACAATAACAGTCAGAGCAAATGAGGTGGAGTTGTCTTCCAGGATGCGCCTGGTGGTCCGGATCTCCCCTGTGTGCTCATGCACTTTGAACAGGTCCATGTCTGTGGCTGTGTGGAGCACATACACCAACCATGCATTCGGACCTGCATCTGCGTCGTAAGCCACCACTTTGGTCACCAAGGCACCAGGCTCTGCATTCTTCTGTACCGTCTCCTGGGAGCGTGTCCCATTCCCTGCAGGTGAAACTATTAGTGGTGCGTGGTCATTCTGATCCATGATGTAGATGTAGACAGTGGCGATGCGGCTGAGTGGAGGAATGCCCCCATCTTGGGCTTTGACCTGGAAATGAAACTCTCGCAGTGACTCATAATCAAAGCCTCGCAGGGCGTAAGCCTCGCCTGTATCGGCCTTGACAGACACATAGGAGGTGACAGGGATGCCATGATTGTTGTCATTGAGCACTGTGTAGGTGATGCGAGCATTCTCCTTTATGTCGGCGTCTTGAGCTTTAACAGTACACAGAGAGGCCCCAGCGGCATTATTCTCTGTCACATAGACAGTGTAAGAAGTCTGCTCAAACCTGGGTGGGTTGTCATTTACATCGGCCACGTCCACCTGTATGGTCTTCTGAGAGGAAAGGGGAGGTGTTCCTCCATCCGTGGCACTCAGAGTGACATTGTAGGCATCCTTGGTCTCACGGTCCAGGAAGGCTGAGGTAACCAGAGTGTAGTAATTTCTGAATGACTTAATCTTAAAAGGAAGGCCTGCTGGGATCTCAAGGCTCACCTGTTTATTAGCGCCAGAGTCTCGGTCTGTTACACTAATGAGAGCCACAACAGTGTCTGCACGGGCGTCTTCCCTCACAGGGCTCGACAGAGAGGACAGCACAATCTGAGGGACATTGTCATTCACGTCCACCACCTCTACCACTACTTTACAGTGGGCTGCCACTGCCCCAGGGCCCTTGTCCATAGCCTGGATGTACATCTCATAGGAGTTGTTCTCTTCATAGTCCACATTACTTCTCACTCGTATTTCTCCTGTGTGAGTGTCCATGCTAAACATCTGCCGGACTCTCTCTGGAGTGTAACTGCTGAAAGAGTAATACACTTCTGAGTTTGTGCCCTCATCCAGGTCAGTTGCATTCAGTTTGATTACCAATGTGTCTTTGGGAGAGTTTTCCAACAGCTTTACTTTGTACACAGAGCTATCAAACTTGGGGGGATTATCATTAGAGTCCAGCACTCGCACATTGATTTTAGCAGTACCAGTTTTCTCTGGTGTGCCACCATCCACAGCACTTAAAATTAATTGGTGATAAGGCGTCTCTTCACGATCAAGAGGCTTTTTGAGCACGAGCTCAATGTGCTTTGTGTTCAGAGAGGGTTTGTTGGATACCAGCGCAAAATGGTCGTTTGTGCTAAGCTGATACATACGGACTGCGTTGGACCCAATGTCTGGGTCCAGAGCATGTTCAATTTGGTATCTCGAGCCTGGTGAAGAAGACTCTATGACTTCCAATTGGTATTCATCCTTGGGGAACTGTGGCGCATTGTCGTTGGCATCCAAGACCTCTACCTCAATATGGTGCACCTCTGTGGGGTTTTCAAACGTCACCTCCAGATTAATCAGGCAGGTGTTCATAGTGTCACACAGAGACTCTCTGTCAATCCTCTCATTGACGAACAGTTTACCGTTTTTAGAGTTGACAATCACGTAGCGCCTCCCGCTACTAGAGGTTATCCTCATCTTTCTGCTAGGGAGCTTTCGAATATCCAGCCCCAAGTCATGCGCCAGATCACCGACCAGTGCCCCATTTTCTTGCTCTTCTGTTATGGAATATCTTAACTGTCCAAACGAAAGGCCACAAAATAAAAGCAATGTAAAAAAATAAAAAGGCACATTATCCCCTATCCGGTTGCATATGCCCGCCAAAGCCATCGCAAGCTCATAGGATCCGCAGATGGATTAAACGCTGCCTTCCTTCCGCCTTTTTAGCTTGCAGTACCTCGCGTCCCAGCACCTCATTAAGGTGGGCTAATTGGTGTCCCGCTGAATCGAACACGAGCGGCTCATCCATTGCGGTGCCAAGCCCAGGTGAATCCTTTCCAGCGCGCCCATATTCCCTTTGTCCGTGATGCGCTCTTTTTTTTTGTCTCCGCTGTGCGCTGCTGACGGGTGTGTTTCCCTGCCGATGGAGCTGTTAGAAACGTCAAGACCCGCGAGTTAGGGATGTGGAGTTACCGGAAGAATAGTCCACACCTCATAAAATAAAACATTATTTTCTTTATGGAGTCCTTTTCAGGAAAACAAAAAAGAGAAATGATCACGACTAGATCAGTTTAAATTATTTTATAGAGAGATTAATACATTTTTATATTTTATTTTTCAATTACCGTTTAAGTGTAATACTACTGACTAGATTAGTCTGAAAATATTATTGGTCACTGCACTGGTATCATTAGTCTAATCTGTGATTAAGTAATCTACAGTAATACAATTACTACAATTAAACAAGAATGCCACTATTTTTCCTGTCATTGCCAACAATCTGGCTGTAATTTAGTGTTAAACTCACTATAAAATAGTCCTAAAATAATGTATTACTATTAATTTATAATTATTAATATTTAAATGTATTATATAAGTATACTCCCGATACATTAAGAATTTGTAGACCTATTGTGCAATGGTGTAGTATTTATTTAGTGATTCCTAAATAACCAATAGCCTCCATCATTTCTACGTTACGCATTTTACGGTGAAATGCCCAAGAGGAAGTTAATACAGCCAATATCTCCGCCTTTACAATGTATCCCACCCTGGTGCGCGCTCAGACTCCAGACCCATCTCTCCTCCGCAGCTCGCCTCCTCCCTCCTTCTCTTTTTACCCACCCATCCCTCTATTTTTCTATCCCCTCTTTACTTAGCTTTTCTTTATAAAGTCTGCCCCGGTAGCTCACATATGCGTCCCTATTCAATACGTATATTTCTGGAATTATCTCACGTTACGTCCACACCTTTGGCACTTCAAAGCCGGTGCATGACTCGAATGCTAATGAATGCTTTGTTTGGAATAAAACGATTTTTTAACCCTTCATGGAGTCATTAATTGCCTTAACAGAGTCAAGGAGAGCAGCGTCCTTCCACTAATGAACACAAGCGTTTATGTTCTCTGCCTGTCTGTATCCTGTATTTGAAGCGTAAAAAGGGGGTGCCATGCGCTCTTCATTTGGCCGGTGGCAATTCTGCGACGCAGCCATACATTCTCAGCATACTATAGCCTAGCAACAACACTGGGCTACAGCAGTCTCATCTGTGGCGCACTATGGCGCGCGTTTGGCACAAAAAGCAAAACATCGCAGTGACAATCACAAGCTTCCCTCCACGCGGATCACTGTCAGTGGAGTCCACGCTGTCAGGTCAGATCAAGCGTGCTTCACATGTGCCGCCTGTGGTGGACCCCATTATGCGAGAGTCTGCGGGAGAGTGGGTTTGCGGGTCAGGAACGCAATGTGTGCATATGTATTCAATAATCTTGTCTACAATGTCACTAAGTTTAAGGTGTAGTTGTTAAAGTATGCGTGTTATATGTCACAAGATTTTAATCTCTTCCTTTTGTTCTTTTTAAGAATCTTAGATATGTCCTTTTAGGTTGGCTACTCTTACTGATTCAACCTTCAACATGTATCCAGATTTTAAACAGACACAGAAAGTACTTGCTTTTAACCCCCTGTGGCTGGGATACAACAAGCTTCTGATTACACAGATTTTTTATTATTTTTTTTAATCAGACAATACTATTGTACAGCTTAATCTTATAACCCCAATTAAACTGGTCTCATTGTTCAAACAGAAGTCTTCCCTGATGTCCAACTCCCCACTAAAACCATTATGCATTAATCTAAATGCACAGGACCTTGTGTGACTGTAGTGGTCTGTGCTCGTATCAGGGCATAGACGACCTGCCTACATTATTTACTGTCTCTCGGGCGACACACACAAAGATAGACTGCACTGCCCTAGAGCACCCTGGGAGTGTGAGGTGATTGGTGTTGAGGAATTGCACATCATTCAAAACAGAAAGGACTAGACAGCAGATCTGAGAAATTAGAATGTTGCCTGGTCAGTATAACAATTTATTTATTTATTTGCATGGATAAATAATGAACCAACAAAATATTCACATAGCGTAGCTTACTCTAGATATACCTATTTCACCATTTATTAAAACAGCTCCTCGGGATCTTTCCGTAGAAGCTGGAGGTGTGCGTTGAGATGAAGTCTGGATGTCCCTGCTTAGACTGCTGCCGCCTTGTCCCTGCCCCGAATAAAGTGGAAGAGAATGGATGGATTTGGCACAGAACTGTTTGATGTTTGAGTCCTAACTGTTTGCTTTTCTGCACTCGGACATCACTTTTTTCTGTGTTGTCTGAATGACAGTAATAAGTGCACACTACTGATGGGCATGAGAGTGATGTAAACCACTTTTATGACCATTGCAATCAATGTAATGGTGCATTTATTCTTTTCTCCGATAGCTTCTGACTTAGACTATATATATATATATATATATATATATATATATATATATATATATATATATATATATATATATATATATATATATATATATATATATATACACACACACACACACACACACACACACACACACACACATATCTGGGTCCAACCTTAAATTATTGGTATAATTAATAAGGCTTGATTTCATTTTTGAAGAGTAGAACCACTTTTCCCAAACAGAGACAATATTACATTGTTGCATCACAAATGACTGTTATGTGCAAACTTTGAGTCAGAGCCTTGAGTTGACATTAATGAGAGATGATGAGTTTGCAGCCTGAAATGTGAAATTAGGCACTTGCTCTTTCAACAGAGGACAACAAGTTTGTTTTACAAAACAAAATATTTTGTGTTAGACACAAAGAGTGTGGGAAGTCAGTCCAAAACAGAGAAGCAAAGTCGGTCACAACAGCTGGCAGGGCTGCTGTCCTCCTGGCCTTAAGCAGAATAGATTACTGGCTGAATGAGTCCAGTGGAGGAGTGCCATGATGAGGACTTCTTCAGCAAAACACGACAGACATCTGGGACTGCATTCACAGAAAGGGCAAAATATGGAATGCATAAAAACACGAAATTGTGGATAATGATAATAAAATAATAATTATGTGAATCTAAAAATTACATGATATATTTTGGGTTTAATGATTTAAAAAAAATAGAAAGTTTTATGTAAGTTTACTTTTACATACTTTTTGTTTGTTTGTGTTTGTTTTTGACTTGGTGTTTGGTGTTTTTAATTTAATGGTGCTAAAGAAAATGGCAATACCACATAACACTTGTGATGAATTATTGAGTTACCAAATTCTGAACTAATAACATTTTGTAATGAAAAATGGCAGATTTATTCAGTGTTGCATTTGCATCTGTACCTCATACGGCTCAAACTAGGAGCTGATGTATAAAAGCAATTGCAATGTTTGACAAGTTGTTGCAATATAGCAACAAACCTTATTCCAAGCATGTATTCATTTTCATTGTGTTGAAGCATGTTTGGATGTTTTGTAGGTTGAAACTGTGCAACCCTCATCATTTACAAGGGTTTGGGTCTAGTGCAAACATTCATATTGACTTTCACAATGACTGGCTTTAAATAATTACATTATATATGTGAATGAAATTCCTATTTAAATTGATCAGTTGTTTACCCCTTATTTCTAGTGTTATGCAAGACTCTGTCTCCATAGCAACACATTTTTGAGTAGCATTGCTGTCATTTTAATTCTCAATTATGGTTTGAGTGCTATTCTATGCAAGGTCTATCAAAGCATGTTAAGAGACATCACAAGTTGCAGGAATGTCATAGTTCGATTTCCAAAATGGATATAATGAGCTCTTGATCTGTGCTCAAGTGCAGTCATCTTAGACAAAACCAGTGCACATCTTAAATTGGTGCAGCATTGACCCTATGGCAAGGTCGGCCGCACACAGGAAAACCTGCCGTGGGCGTCACTCAAGCCTGGCATAAATCTCTGTGCACTTACTGCAATCTGCCTCCACTGTGTTCCATCTCTGTCAGCAGCCAAAGCACTGGCTCAGCACACTCCCGGTCTCCTGTGTCTTATTCATGAATCTGCTTTTTAAAAGAAAAACAATGTATTATCTGCAAAAAGTTTGTCTAAGTACAAGTATGTGACTAATGGTAATCATGTGTACATCCAGGTTAACACAAACAATGCAGATCAATCAGTCCTGCCCCTTGATGTATTTACATTTTAGCATTCAACCTTTGACCTTTTAAGGTCCTCAATGGTAGTCATAGAATCATTGTAGACTTGTCATACTCAATAATAGGCACTATAGTGATTTGACCTGAAAGTCACCTGTATCTAACATCAATAGCTTTGATTACATAGTGACTTGAGTTGAGAATTTAAAATGTCTGGTCAATATTTACTTATCAACAATACACATAATCTGTCCAAGCACCTTCACAAGATTAAATATGAGCTGGGAAAGAATAAATGCGTGGGAATGTAACCTTCTGCTATACCTTGAAAGAAAAAAAAAAGAGATTTTTTATCTCGGGTTCAGATCTAAGATTCAATAATTTTCAGTTGTCAATGATCAGCTTGGGTCTGTTTCATTGAGAGTCAGTAAAAGCATGTAGTTTTGGAGTGCAGTTCAGACCATGAAGGGATACATTTGATAATTTCTTGTATCAAATTGTCATTGATTCATTGATTAGGGAAATCGAAAATCATTGTCATTCAATATGAGGGAGAGAAAATCAGCCCAACCTCTATTTTATATTCAAAAGTAGCATCAATGCAAAACCAGTATAGTGGTAAAGACTAGGGCATTTTGAAGTTGAATGCCTGGATGAAAAAATATTAATGTTAAGAAATATTATAACA